ACAATACCACAATTCATAGCATGTAACATATTAAAGAACCAATAAAGCACAATATTATTCTTTAGCCATATTGATCAACTAATCTGATCATAATAATAACAATCATATACATACCTTATAAATTCATAACAACTTACCAGAAGTCCCGAATAGATACGATTCTGGATCACTCAACGGAATAGAGGTGAAGTAGGGTACGGACCACTCAACGGAGTTTCGTTCTAGAATGCATATGGTTCCCCAATATGGATTAACTAGGTAGAACCATAGGCATCCATCTAATAGCGTGATCCCCCAATGCGGATTAACCAGGCGGAACCTTAGGCAATCATCTGATAGTATGGTGCCCTCAATGCAGATTAACCAGGCGGGACCATGTATAGAAGTAGACAGAGTAGGCAGTGACCCCCTCCCCAAAATGCGAACTAACCAGGCAGGGTCAACTCTATGGTGTGCGTAATCCCCCAATGCGGATTAACAAGGCAGGGGCATCCCTAAAGTGTACGTGGTCCCCTAATGTAGATTAACTAGGCGGAACCATAGACATCTCTCTAATAATGTGGTTCCCCAATCTGGATTAACCAAGCGGAACCACTTATGGGAATCATGTAATCAAGTAGGCAGTGACACGCCCCGATCACGATATTCCTCGAATACCAGGATAGGCACGTGCTGGCTAACACCTGAGGGTGACGAAAGCCATTTATTGAGTGCAAATGCTGAGAATAAAGGAATAAATAAGACTTAAAAATATAAAAGAATAAAGAATATGCATTTAAGGAATGTGTTTAGAGCATATAACTAACTAGAACACTAAAAGAAATAATATAAAAATTTAGTTAACAAAGGAGTGGGTCCTACACCGAGAGGACTCGAAGATGCCGATGCGGAAGTGCCTGGACATCGAGATTGTATGCCTAGATTCCAAGACCTGAATGGGGGCGCAAAACAAAGGTGAGTGGACTAAGTTCCTATATACAATAATAATAATAGTTATCAAGATACTAACCCCCACAGTTTATATAAAGAAAACTACTAGCATAAAAAGTGATAGGTTTACTGACAACCCTAGCAACCAAAAACATCTCAATAGACATATCGCGAAAATCAAAACATCAATCGTTTCACAGATCATCTCGTAATCGCAGTGTGCTGCCAGTAAGATCACTGAATAAATATAACTCCCGGCCCTATGCTAGCACTGTGGTCTCTGCGCCCGTAGCCAGAGATTACCAACTCTCGGCCCAATGCTTGCTTCATGTCCCTCAACCCGTGGCTAGGGATTATTTCTCTCGGCCTATCTACCAACACCAGATCCTTGCCCCAGGCGGCATAGTGTCCACTAGATACGCACAAATAGTTACGTGATGAGTAGATTTTATATTATATATTTTACCCTAATCTTAGTATATTTTGGTTAATATTTTGGAAGAATTGTGATGCTTTGAATTGTATTTTCAATATAGGACTTTCGACTTCCTCTGGAGTAAAACAGGACCAAATGGACAAATTTTGGAGTAATTCCAGTTGGAGGATGTTTGTGAGTCACTTAGCTTGATCGTATCAAAATATTGGGATTTTTCCACCAAGCGGTTATTTTCTGGCGATAAAATAAAGGAGCAGTGCGCGGTGCTGGAAAATGACGTTTATGGGCTTAAATTGTATTTTTGGAGCCCAAGATGACATCGGATGGTTTCGTGGTATTCTGGAGAAGTGTTCAGAATATTCCAAACATTAAATCCAGCTATATTGGGTCAGTTTTGGAGTAGCTTATGGGTCCAAAACGTGGCTGTTCAGATTTTTGGTGAATTTTACCATTTAATTTAGGGTTATGTTTCCTATTTTATTTGATTATTAATTTTAGTTTCCTAGGGGGAATAAATGACCTGTTTTTAGGGTTTGTGTGGTGGCTTAGCTGATATATGGCTTGGCCGTCTACAATTTTTTCTCTATGCTTTATTTTATGCAATTTTGGAGACAGAGAGAATTGCTAGGGTTTTGGAGATTTTCTACTAGAAGGTGTTTTCAATCCTTTTCTTAATAATATTTTCTAATATTTCAATTATGAATATGCGTAACTAATTTCTTTTGCTAGGGCGAAGCCTTGAGCCTTAGCATGAATATGTAATTTTTATTTAATTGCTTATGATTGATTGCATGCATACTTTGAATTGTTAATCACCAGGATAAAAACTATCTAATTGTCTTAATGCCTGATCACCATTAGGATCTTTAGAAAAGTAATTTGATGCAATTTTGGTCAGAAGGTTCCCTGAAATTGATGATGGCTTCTTGTGATTAATAATTGTAATTTCACTTAGGATGAACACCACGTCTTAAGGATTGCATGTTTTTTCAAAGGGTTTTCATAAAGCATAATGAGTCTTTCATGTTCAGATTTGATCCGAACGTCCGAACGGGTTGCAAGTTAGATATATGTTCTATGTTGGAGGTTCCAAGTAGAACATAAATTAGAAAAACCTAACCTTCAAAATGGCATGTGTAGATCATAAGTAATTGGTAAAAGTTCATAGGATTGCTAGGTGATGGTGGAACCCTAGTGCTTTCTTAATTTGATTTCTCTCAAAACTGTTTTCTTTTCCCTCTAGTTTTAATATTGCAGATTGTCTTATTTTTATTAGTTAATTTCGTTTTATTAAATTAGGCCATAAAAATCTATCATCTCAATTTCTACTTTACAATAATTAATTGGAATTTGGTTACCTTCGAATTAATTAGTAATCCCTGTGGAGAACGACCTTGCGAGATTCGTTTATACTACAATAACCTTGTAATTCTTGCAAGTATTATAGGAGTTTTTATCCTGTTCACATAAGTAGTAAAATCCCTATCATTACGCCTCTCATAAACAGGGCCGGTCCTGTGTTTTTGGGTGCCCAGTGCGAAAGCTCAAAACGTGGCATTTTTTAATACGGAAACATATGTTTAAAAAAAATATTTAACGAGGGCTGGAACCCAGTCAAAGCTGGGGGGCTAGGCCCTCACGCCCAAATTATATTACTTGAGAAAATATACAACGGGGGGGACATAATACCTAAACCCCGACAATCAAAAATACAATCATATACAACCATTCCTAGCAAAACTCATTGAAATTTCAACCTTTAAGAAATTGTCTTCTGGCATTTTTTGAAGCAAAATCATCAATTATATCATCATACTCCAAGTCTTCAATCTCATCCTTTTCAATGCATAAGATTGCTAATCCATTTAGCCTATCTTGAGTCATAGTGGTCCGCAAGTAAGATTTTAATAATTTCAATTTTGAAAAACTTCTTTCTGCAGATGCCACGGTCACAGGTACAGTCAACAGTACACGATAAGCAATCAAGACATTAGGACACATGTCAGTTTCTTTACAAAGTTTGCTATTTCCATGGTTGTCCAAGGGTTATTAGAGAAAAATGCTTCTTCATGTAACATCATTTGCAACACCTGTAACTCGGAACATAAGTCGGCTCCATCTACATCCATGGTATTTCCAAGTTTCAAATGTGCTTCAAGATTCATACAATTTTCTTTTAGTTGTTGATCATCCAATGAAATCAACTTCGGTGCATCAAACAAGAAGCCAAAAATATATTCAAAAGCCTTTAACTGTTCAAACCTGTGTTTCAGTTGAGAAAGAGCAATATCCACTATAACAAGAAAATAATCTGTTCTAAATGATTCTTCAGCAGACTGTTGTTCCCTCTCATTACCATCAATTTCATCATGATGTCTTTTTCTAGGTCTATGACGTTTAGTTTGAAAAACAGGGTCAATTTCCGATTCAAGTGCAATTTCTTTAGCATCACGCATGGCAGAAGCAAAACCAGTTTCTCTGTAGTTTTCAAAAAATGTAACAAGTGCTTCCAAAGCCTTTACAGTAACATCAAGACGCATGTCTTCAGATTGTAATTTTTTGCTCACCATGTTAATCTTCAACAAAATGTCATACCAAATAACCAAACTTAATACAAAATCAAAACTGGAAAGTTCTCCTGATGCTAAACATTCTGCATCCCTACTCAATTGGGGATTCTCAGTAATTTCCACCAACGTAAACAAAGCGTTTCTAACTTGGGCTACTTGGGATTTAATTGCTTTAACACTTTCAATGTGACTTTCCCATCGAGTAGTTGACAATGACTTCAAAGTTAAACCATCAATATGTTCAAGCAAAATATTCCAACGCTTTGTAGAGTTGGAAAACACCGTATATATGCATTGACATGCTCCAAAAAAAGATTTTGCTTTAAGACATGAACTTGCCATATCACAAACTATTAAATTAAGACAATGAGAACCACATGGCATGTAAAATGCTCTGGGATTTATGTCTAGCAATCTTTTTTGGACACCTTGGTGTTTCCCTCTCATGTTAGATCCATTATCATAACCTTGTCCCCTCACATTATCAATATCAAGATCAAGAGACTTTAGGACATCTTGCAACTCATTAAAAAGTCCTTGTCCTGATGTATCTTCCACACTTAAAAACTCCATGAAATACTCCATTATATTTATTGACCTACTTGACAAGTCAACACATCTCAAAATTAAAGTCATTTGTTCCACATGACTTGCATCAGGAGTACAATCAAGAATGACAGAAAAAAATTTGGCTTCTTTTACCTTTTTAATGATTGCGGTTTTGACTTTTGAAGCTAAAGTAGCTATCAACTCATTTTGAATTTTATGACTCAAATAGTGGTGATGAATCTCTTTATTCTCAATGAGTCGAAAATGTTTTTGCATTATTGGATCAAACTCCGCAATCATTTCAAGTAAACCTAAGAAGTTTCCATTACAGTCTTCATAAGGTCTTTCATTTGTTCCACGAAATGCTAAATTACGTATAGCAAGACATTTCACAACAGCAATAATTCTAAGCATCACTTGTTTCCAATGATTTGTCTCTTTCTTGATTCGCATTTGAAATTCTTTATCAATTGTCTGATTTGTTGTCAATCTACTTTTCAACTCAACCCAAGTTCTCAAATTAGTAAGATGTTCTTTACTCTTTCATGTTGGTCAAGCTTCACACCAAGATGTCTCCAATCACTAATTCCATCTTTTGCTAACTCACTTTTTGAGGCAATTGTTTTAAACAATTTACAACAAAAGCAAAAGACTTTATCCAACTCTTTTGAGTACACGAGCCATTTCCTATCATAAATTTCACCCGTTGGTAATTTTCGATCATAGTAGTGTGAGGAAAATTTTCTAGAGAGTTTGTCCTTAGGATAAGTGAGATTAGTTTCTCGAATTGGCCCATTTTCTACAAGCAAGTCTCTCATTTCTGCATTAAGACCATCCCAAACTCTTGGATCATAAATGTTTATATGGAAAATAGGTTCAGGAGATTCAATATTTTCCTCTACACCAATATGATCATCATCAACATTTAAATCCACATCACCACCATTTTCATGGTCTTGAGACTCATCACCAACATTTTCTTCTAAATCACTACCATTTTCATGATCATGAGACTCCCCAATAACATTTTGTGGCTCTTCACCAACATTATTTTCTCTCAAATTTTCAACTGACTCATTATTTGTAGAGAAAAATTTATTAAGAGATCCTCTTAAACTTTCGGCAATTTCGTTATCCTTTGCCTTTTTTTTTCTTTTCATATTACCAGAGAGTTGTTTCCTAAAAGACATGGCTTCGATAATTTGTTTGCAAAAATTACCTACACATGATATAACAAAATTTTCCTATCAAAATTATCATTCCAACACATTATATATTATAAAAACACTAACACATAGTCAAACATATTATAAAAATTGAACCTAAAATTGGGTTTGAAATGAAATCAAATAATTCAATAATCAATTAGTCAAGAATTCAATTCATCATTCATCAACAACAATAATTCTATACATCAATTATCAATTTATCATATAATTCTATATCACTTGCATTGCAAAATTTTATATTAAATTATAAATTAAGAATTAAAATTTTAAAAATTTACCTCAAAACTAATTTTGTCTTTGCGCTTGAGAGTTTGGAGCAACCATTAAAGCTTGTAGCAAAGAAGTTGGGATGGCTTGGGATGGCAGAGCAAAGCTCCAATGATTCAAGAGAAAGAAAAAAATAATGATTCAGAGAAAGAAAAATAAGGGGCAGGGAAGGCAAAGTGAGGGATGTAGGGAACAAAAGGGAGGTGGGTGGGTGGGTGGGGAATCGGGAAAGGGTGGGGAATCGGGAAAGGTTGTAGTATATTAGTGATTAGGGTTTGATTGGGACCACTGGTCCCTGTTATGTTTTGTTATGTTTTTTTTTTTTTTTTTTTTTTTTTTTTTTTTTTTTTTTTTCTTCTAATCTGTGGTTGGGTCTTTCTGGGCCCTTTTGTTGCCTTTTGGGCTCTTGCCAACCCCTATTTGGGCTGTGAAATTTTTTTTTTTAATACTTAGTTATATGAGTTTTTTTTTATTTTGGTGCCCTCTTCATTTTGGGGCCCTGCTCATAAATAACCACTTCATAGTATAAAGTCATCCATCGTCTATACTATAAAGAGGGGTTTCTAAAATATGTTCTAGCATCCTATTGTCATCCATCAGATCGTCTACCAGTTCATGGTTTTTATAGAAAATACGATATATCAAACTATAGCTTAATATAGGCTAATAATTAATTCCTCACAAAAAACGAGACGATAAACAACATATTCCATAAACATGCTTAACATAAAATCAGTTCATAAACTCGTAAGGCATGCATTTCATTTATGCAAATAAACTATAAAATTATGTAAATTTTAGAAGGGGTCCACTTACAGTACTCCGTAGCAGCAGAATTGTGCGGAAGAGGATTAGGGAAATCCCCACTAGCAACTTCACCTAAGCACAAAATTGTACAATGTATCAAACTACCCAACTATAGAATTTCAAGAAATGGAAATGGGTTTTGGGTTTGGATCCAGATTAGGGTTTAGGTTTAGGTTAAATAGGGCTAGGACCTATTGGGTTTTGGGTTTGAATAGTTTAAGAACAAAATGGGTGGATTGGGCTTGAGCCCAAACCCACACAAAACACACATACACACGCTAGCACATGCACATGCACGACACAACACACACACACACGGCACAACACACACATACACACGTGCACCATACACACTCACACGCACTCACCATACACGCACACACCCACATGGACACACACACACACCACACCCAAACATTCAACCCACATACACTCGGCCCAGGCCTGATAGCCAAAGGGAAAGCTGGGATTAACCTACTTAAATAAAACCAGTTTGAGGCCTCTTCTGGCTTTTAAAACAATTAGCTGAAAATTAAAAGGAAACAGGCCGGGTTTTAGGGTTCTGGGCTGGTCCATATACGGGCTAAAGCCCGTGGGTGTTCTGAAATGGCCTAATGGCCTGCGGGGTGTCGGGGAAGAACACCGGAGCTGTTATAACTCCGGTCGACGACAACGTATAAACCAAGCTCCTAAAATGCAGAGAAAAACACAACTGAAGTGATAGGAATGAGAATATACCACTGTGAGTCTCGACCGTGGTCGAGAATGGCTGGGTTGGTCACAGAACTCGTCGGGTTTTCACACCGGGTTCTGGAAAACAACAATAGAGTGTGTTGATGCACAAAATCAGTAAGGACTTTGGTACAACAAAAAATGTTAAGTTTGTGACCTTCGCTAGATTACTCCGGTCACTAGTGTAGATAAGTATAAATGGATAGAGACAGGGAAGTAAACACAAGATTTACGTGGTTCACCTAGATTGGCTACGTCCATGGAGTAGAGAAGTTCTCATTAATTGTGAAGGGTTTACACAAGTACATAGGTTCAAGCTCTCATTTTGTGAGTACTAGTGAATGATTTAGTACAAATAACATTAGGAAATATTGTGAGAGAATGATCTCTATTTATAGAAGAGAGTTTCTAGTTTCATTCTGACATTGACATGTGTCGTGTTGTGATTGGCTTCTGATGTTGACATGTGTCGTGCTATGAATGGCTTCTGATGTCGACACGTGTCGCGCTGTGATTGGCCTCCTGGTTGGTGGGAAACTCTTCTGGGTCCATAACGGTATAACGTTGACCGGTGCTCAGTAGTTTCAGGATTGGTCAAGTATGGTACAAACAGTGCTCCCCTAAGTTCCCGAGCGAGGGAAGCTCCTCGGTTGGGGACTTGTAAGATCCAAGCCGTTAAGTAATCATGAAACTTCTAAGTACCGAAGTGTGGTATCATTTTCACTTGCCTTATCTGTCTCATATGTAGATGTGACATCTTTTCTGGAAGTACTTTTCCTCCATCCAGGGGTGGTATCTTTAACCGATGAAGATGTACAAGGTAATGTATCAATTTCACTTGAAGCTTACTTGTAGTTTGGGGCTTGGTCAAGTGCGATACAAACCTTATAGTAGGAGTCCCCCAAGTCGCCGAGCTAGGAGATTTGCCGAATGAGGTAACAGACAAGGTAAGCAACTAGACTTCCAAGCAAGTAACCTGGATCGGAGGTTCAACTTCGACTTCCGGTTGATTGTTCTCATTCTCCTTGTGTTGTAAATAGCAACAAGGATAAGGAGAAGCAAATGGAGAAGAGATGATATGAGATACTTTTGCTTTTGAAGAAGTAACTTTCCACATGCTTATTCTTGAACTGGGTTGGAGGGTTTTCTGGTTTCTTCTAAAGTATAAGGCCGACTCAAGAATTTGAGGGTCAAAACAAGTCCATCAAATCAAGAGTGCGTTCGACCTTGATGATATGGGATACTTTTGTTGTTGACAAGGTAATAGTTGAATCGGCACTGTTGCGCTTGTCTCCATATGCTTCCTTGTATCCTTCTCACTTGCCCTATTTGTTCCTTAGGCACATGTGGTATCTTTTCTGGAAGCATAAGATGTTGAAGATGAGTACTTGAAAGCAATGCCAGGTAAGTAATCAAGCAAGAAGTTCCAGGTAGTCAGTTCTTGACTGGAATAAGTAATCAGCAAGGAGTTCCAAGTAGTCAGTTCCTGACTGGAAGCATGATTCCAAGTGCTGACTGATTGCTTTTTTTCTCCTTGTCTTGCAGGTAAGAACAAGGCCAAAGGAAAATACAGGGAAAAAGCATGATATGGGATACTCTTGCTTTTAACCCTGATGATATGAGATATTCTTACTCTGGTGTGGCTTGTTTGCAGAGGTATTATCGGGGGAAAAAAGTTGAGTATTTCAAGAGACTCTGCTGAGAGTGCCCTCTCGGATGTGAAGAAAAGTTGAGCATTTTTTTTTTATTTGCAGGTCTGCCTGGCTGTGAAGGATGGAGGTCGACATATATAGGAGTCTCCCTAACAACAAGTAGTAATGCTATTCCTTTACCCTTCTTGGTCATAGTAATGTAGTGGGAGCTACAAGCTTCACATGTTTTAACTTTGTCAGAACACTTTGAAAAAATGGTCTGAGGTATCTGGAAAGCTGATGTTGCGTGTGAAGATTACAGACAAGCTTTATCCAAGGAAATCTGGCTCTCGAAGTTCGGAGAGCGGTGCCTCTTCGGTTTTTGAACAAGCAATCCTGTCGGGGATCTAGCTCTTGAGATTCAGAGAACAGTGCCTCTTCCATTTTTGAGAAAGCAATCCTGTTGGTAGTCTGACTCTTAAGATTCAGAGAGTAGTGTCTTTTCGATTTTTGAGAAAGTAATCCTGTTGGGAGTCTGGCTCTCTGGATTCGGAAGGCAATGCCTCTTCGATTTTTGAGCACATAATCCTGTTAGGAATCTGGCTCTCGAGATTCAGAGAGCGGTGCCTTTTCGATTTTTGAGAAATCAATATTGTTGGGAGTGTTTTCTCGAAAGTGAGTAAAAGGTTGGGCATTTTTGCCAGTCTGCCTTGTCACGGAGCATAGAGGTTGACACACATTGGTACTTTCTAGTTATCAAGTAGTGGTGCTGTTCCTTTACCCTTGTGGGTAATAGTAGGGTAGATGGACCTTCAAAATTTATGTGTATAAACTTTGTCAGGGATATTTGGCAAAGTTATTTGTGGTACTCGAGAAGTTGATGTTGCGTGTGAAAAGTGGTGCCTCTTCGGAATCCAGAGAGTGGTGCCTCTTCGATTTTTGAACCAACGACCATGTTGCCATTTCTTTTATAAGGGCACCAATTGTGTGCAAGAAGTACATTCAGAGAGTTATTGCTTGTAGGAATTTTCCCCTTGCTTCATAGATTTATTGCACCTCATTTCTCCTTCATCATTTCTGAGAATGTCTGGCGCATCCGACCGTCGTTTTGACTTGAACTTTGGTGAAGAGGTAGCCATGCCTTCTTAAGACAACATATGGCGCCCATCATTCTTATCCCCTACTAGTCCTCTTACCGTTGGGGACTCTATGATGAAGAATGATATGACCACTGCGGTGGTGGCCAGAAACCTTCACACTCCCAAAGATAACAGACTACTTTCCAAACGGTCTGATGAGTTGGCTGTTAAGGATTCTCTGGCTCTCAGTGTTCAGTGTGCAGGTTCTGTGTCTAATATGGCTCAACGCCTATTTACTCAAACCTGCCAAGTTGAATCATTGGCGGCTGAAGTGATAAGTCTCAAACAGAAGATCAGTGGGCTTAAGCACGAGAATAAACAGTTGCACAGGCTCGCACATGACTATGCTACAAACATGAAGAGGAAGCTCGACCAGGTGCAGGAA